CAATTTGCACAATATGGAAAGTTTAGATGAAATTATAGAAAATGCAAATAAAAATATTAAAAAGGTGTTTCTAGCAGGGGTTGCATCTGAATTTCAACAAGAAGCCTATATAATTGGCCTTAAATTAACATTGGATAGATTGGCACGGGAGCTAGAGTTTGCGCTAAAAGATGATTATTCTAAGCCAGCCAGTTCGGAGTAGTGATCATTGGTGCAAAATCACATTTTTTTCGATTAAAGATATAGCATATATTATTTATGGCGCATTTAGGTGTTATAAATTTACCAGAACTATTGGAGCGGTGATCTTTTCGCTTGAAAGAAGATTTTTGCTGAGCCACAGTGCATGTACGATAATTTTTTTATTAAAGGTATAATGCATTATATAGACAATAATGAGAGATATAATTAATCACGTAGATTGAACAGATGATAGAGATTTTGCATCTCAACCAAACTCTCTAGTCTTAAAACCCGAAAAGAGTAAAGAAATGCCAGCGCCTATGCAGGGCGATTGGTCTGTGAGTAAATACTTTGAAATGATAAAGCTATATGCTATTGTCTTTGATAAGGATTTAGATAGTATAGACGTAAAAGTGAAATTTATTCTGGATTATCACCTGATAATGAAAAGCGTGTAGAAGAGTTTGGGTTTAAAAAACCTTTAAAAGAAATGGTTAAATATTTAGTTAGAGATCCAACACTTTCTACCGAAATACAGAAATACAAAGTGGGAGAGCTGAAATAAGGTAATAAATCGGTAAGAGAATTTTATCAAAAATTAGAAAGGCTTAGAAAGCTTTCCGGATCTGATGAGGAAGATCTTAGAAAAAAATTATTTTGCGGACTTTCACCTACAAATCAAGATGAAGTCAAATCATGGGGGATGTATCTTCCTTTGGATGAGTTGATAGAAAGGCTTAGAACGCTAGAATAACTTTCTGAATAATATAGAGTGTCGATCACCAGCTCGGAAGAATTTGCTAGGCCACTCCTGTGTGACAATAACCTTATTTTTTGACTGAAATAATCTAACCATATATAAAAAATGCATATAGTTAATTTGCTAGAATGTCT